AGATAGATAGATAGATAGATAGATAGATAGATAGATAGATAGATAGAGACAGACAGAGAGACAGACAGACAGTAGGTAGGTGCATTCAGCATCATTTAAGGGAGCCAAGACTATTCCTGTCTCCATGGTTACAACAATGCACAGTCATGCAATGGTGGCTCATGAGGATTTCCAGGTCAACTAAGGGTAATGGGAAAGAGAAGAGAAAAAGGGAAGGCAGAAAGCACATCTCTCAGTAAAGAAGACCAATCAGGAAAACACTAGCAGAGACTAGCAGAGAAAAGGAAGTGACATCACCTCTGAAGGGCCACCTGTCTTTCTGCCTGCAGCCATCCAGGGCTGGGTAAAGGAGGGCCCAGCTCTAGCTAGCCCTGCCCAGGTACTCTCCAAACTGTCTGTCCTGCTGCTGGAGAAGATGGGAGGCTCATCTGGGGCGGTGAGTAGAAGCAGACTCTGGAAGGGCAGGCCGATAGAGAGGGGTGCAGGTTTGGCTGAGTGCTGGCCAGCTCCATGTACTCAACATTCTGGTCCTCCTCAGCTCTATGGTCTGTTCCTGACTGCGGCTGCCCAGGCTCTCAAAGCCAAGACTGATCTCCCAGCGTGGTCTGCTGCCATGGATGCCGGCCTGGAGGCCATGCAGAAGTGAGCCAGGGCCCTGTGTCTTAACCCCAGGAGTGTGCTGGGGAGGTAGTTGACAACTGCTAACTGCTCCCAGCCAGACCCTGTCCCTACACCAAAGTAACCACCTTGTTCATTCTTGCAGGTATGGAAAGGCTGCACCAGGGGACAGGACAATGGTGTGTACTCAGGGTGTGGCTCCCCCTGTCCCTTTTAAGCCTACAATCCCTAAAGCTATCCTCAGTAGCAGGGCTTCTTCTCAATCTTCCTCTCTCTGACCTTGTCCAGCTGGATTCTCTGTGGGCAGCAGGACAGGAGCTGCAAGCCTGGAAGAGCCCAGGAGCCAGTCTTCTCCCAGTCCTGACTAAAGCAGTCAAGGTGAGTGAGGCTCGACTGACAATCAAGGAGTCACCAAGCTCCAATCTAAAGCGAGTAAAGGGCCTTTTCCACCTTGATTTCCACCTGTATAAAATAAGGGCGAACACCTATCTCAGAAGTGTTATATAGCTAGGGAGATACATTGAACTTAGCCTAGTACTTGGGCTGAGGCTCCGCAAATAGTGGCCCGATTCCTTGCTAGAAGTAGATGAAGGTGACCTTTCCACTGAGCAATGGTACAGAGATTTCTGACAGAACAGGACAAAGGGTCCAGGATCAGATTTTCAGGGCCCAGTGGGAAAGGAAAGGCCTACTGTCATGTACTTAAGCCTACTCCCACCTTCCTCAGAGTGCTGAAGCTGCAGCCGAGGCCACCAAGAACATGGAAGCTGGCGCTGGAAGAGCCAGTTACATCAGCTCTGCACGACTAGATCAGCCAGACCCTGGAGCAGTGGCAGTTGCCGCCATCTTCCGCGCCATCCTGGAAGTCTTGCAGACGCAGGGAGCATAACTGCCTTTTTCCTCCTCAGCTCCTCTCCCTGTTTACTTCCTCTTGCCTTCAGATGGGCACCTTACCCCTCACTCACCCTAGCACCCATCCTCTGCCACCCCTCCAGAACTGTTCCGTGAACAGTAAGTGTCTGGCTGGGCAGATCACATGCCCTGCCTCACTGCTCTTCCCTCTTCAGGAAAAGGAGTCCCTGGGGTCATGTTCTCCCCACCCCAGCCAGCTCTGAATGTCAGTGATAAGGCTTTTCCTGAGTACAACGCAGCCTCTAACTGGGTGTACCTCTTTGGTTTCAAGACTCCAGGCCTCGTCCTCTGGAAGGCATCTTACACTCACCCAGCCAGCGTGTGAAAGAAAACTAATAAAACCCATTGAAGCCACAAGCTGCTGCCTTCATCTTTGGGCCTTAGCCCTGGTTACCGTGGCCATGACCCATCTCTTGGCAAACGGTTCATCAGCTGTGCTCCAGACAAATTCTGCTCAGCTGGGCTGTTTCCATAGGGACTCCCCTTTCCTGTCCTAGCACATACCATACCAGTGCACATCAGATTGGCACAAAGGCTTGTCTCTGTACCAGATCTACAACTGATTCTTCAGAAATTACATGGGCATTGGATTTCCCAGAAGAAAATGGACTCACTGTGTTTTAAGGCTCTGGTATACTTCAGAAGCTGCAGTCATACCAGCCACATCTCTCTAGAGCAATGGTTTTCAACCTTCTTAATGTAGTTCCTCATGTTGTAGTGACCCCAACCATAAAATTATTTTCATTGCTATTATGAATCATAATTAAGTATTTTTGGAGTTAGTGGTTTGCCAAAAGGGACACAGCCCACTGCTCCAGAGCAGTCATTGCCTACACCCTGACCAGGTGAAAGACTGACGCCTGAGACAGCATGCGCAGTTCACCACAGGCATGACATCCTCGGTGTAGACAGGTGATTCCAGGCACTGGCAGGTCATATCCATGGGTAGTTGGGTTCTGTTTTATGTCAATTATGGGAACTCATGCCCATATCTGGCCAGTTGAGATCTGTAAAATTCAATGATACCCACCTCAGGCCAGCAAGATGACTCAGTGGGTAGACGCCTGAAGGCTTAAAACTTGAATTTGGTCACCAGATCCCATTAGGCGGCAGGAGATAAAGTTGTCTTCTGGTCTCCACACATGCTATGGCATGAGCATGGCTGCACGTGCAGTGGTAGCCATCCCACAGGAGGTGAAGACTCGGGTAATGATTAGGGTCTTGGGCAGCCTGGTGAGCTAGTGCTGTCACAGGAACAAGGCATACCAGTGCCAGTGCCTGCATTGGCGTCAGGCACACTCCCCTCCTACTGTGTCACCATCTCTACAGTCACACTAGGAAAGGGACCCCATCATCTGTGTCCTCAGATTAGGGCCTCTGGGCCTAGGGTCTTCTGTCAGCCTGCTCCATCAGAAGTCCCGGGCAACAAAGCTGGTTGTCAGCATGCACAGATATACGTACCTGGCAGAGGACTTGTGGATCCCAACTCTGCCATCACCCAGCAGAGTGACAGTAGATCATTCTACTTGCCTGTCCACCTCCACTCCTTTTTGAATCTCGCTTTCCAGACTTTAAGGCAGGGAACACTCCTTTCATTAGGAGTATGTGCCCTAAAGCCATTCATTATGAAGGACACCCACCCAAATTTAAGTAACATGCATTCCAGGAATACAATCATGGATCTCTGGTTGGCCCTTCTTACATCTATCTATAAGGGCCAAGCCCATCCTGAGGCCTTTGTAAATTGCCAAGACTCTCATTTGAGTACATTGTCATGCCAGCAAAGGCTTCTATGTTTCAACAGAACTCCTATGCTTGAAACTTTATTTCTAACGTGATGGAATTAAGAGGTGGGGCTTTGAACCCAGCCTGGTAGCACACCCTTTAGTCCAAGCACTCTGGAGGCAGAGGAAGGCCAATCTCTGTGAGTCTGAGGCCAGTTTGGTCTACAAGTTCCAGGCCAGTCAGTGTAGTGGTATTTCATTTGTAATCTAACAAAGTTTGCCTGAGGATCAGAGAGCAGAGCTAAGCCACAGTTAATCACAGAGGCCAGGCAGTGGTGGCACACACCTTTAATCTCAGCACTTGGAGACAGAGGCAGGAGGATCTCTGTGAGTTCAAGGCCACCCAGGGCTGCGTGAGATTGAATTGTGTCTAAAAGAGAAACAGAGCTCACACGAAGGTGATCCCAGCATTTGACTTCATATGCCTTTAATCTCAGCACTAGGGAGGTAGAAACAGGAGGAATTTGGCTGGGTGGAGAGAGGAATATAGCGGGAGGAGACAGGAACTCAGATTCAGTCTGAGGTTTCGTAGAGAGAGCATTCAGTCTAAGGATTCATAGAGGCAGGATTGCCCTTTTGGTTTGAGATAGAGGTAAGAATTAGTGGCTGGCTGCTCTACTTCTCTGATTTTCCAGCTTTCACTTGATAGCTGACTCCAGGTTTTTATTATTAAAACCAATTAGAATTCATGCTACAAGCCAGGGCTCCATAGTGAGACCCAGTCTTAAAAATAAAAAGAGGCCTTTGTAAGTGATCAGGGGTAAGGGCGGGCCTTCTTAATGAGAGGTACCATTTTTAAGGGTCTGGGAACAACCTGAGCTCTGCACCATATGAAGCCACAGTACGAAGGAGGTGGGAGTGGTCCTTACCAGACAGGTGGTGTTGCCTTTATCTTGGACTTCTAGCCTCCCAAAGTATGAGAAATATGTGGGGTTTTGTTGTTGTTGCTGTTTGTTTTTGTTTTTAGCTATCCAGTCTGGACAAAAGAAGACACCTTTAATGTTTAAAAACACATTTAATAAAAATCAGATTCATGAAGAAATAGAATACCCACTCATGAGTAAACCAGGGGAGCTGGTCTCGTTCAAGGTGCTCAGCAGTAATACCAATGGTGTGCAGGCTTCATCTGGTCAGCAAGTTCATGCCAGCCCTCCTGCCCACTTCTGGCGGCAGGGTTGAAGTTCAGCCTGATCACTAACTGCAGGGAGTGCAGGAACCCCCCCCTCCCCCGACTCCTCCTATTGGTCTGTTAAGTACAGCAGTTTGCAGCTGGGATCTGGCAGGGCTTATCTGAGGAGGTATGAAGTGTCATAGGCCAATTCAAACTAGAAGGGCAGGACTCCTCCCTCTTCCCCAGTTTCTATTCAGAAGAAGAGCAAAGCTCACACTCTGGTGTACCACGAAGGGAGGCTTGGTGGCCTTGGGTGGGGGGAGGCAAAAGCACCCAGTACTCAATCAGGAACACCTCTGAAGGCAGGAGTGGCTACCAGGACTCTGCCCAGCAAATTGCTTCATAATGCTGGCTTCAATTTCATAGTGGGCTGGGCCTTGTCAGGGAAGAGCGTGACTAGAGGAGGCAGGAAAGCCCATGCCCACAAACCTCTGTTACTCATCACTTAGGACTCTAAGGTCAGTCCTCTTGGGAGAACAGTTTACCAGGGCTCATAGGGTTGCCTGAGGGGGGCAGGCATGTAAGTCACAGGGAAAGGGCGGGATCCAGGCAGCAGCTGAAGCAGCAACTAGAAGAGGGGGAGCCACATGGTCACAACACACACACCACAGCACATCAAAGTGAACAGAGCAGCTCAGAGTGACTAGCATCTGACTCCTACAAAGCCTCTCCTGCTGCTACCGTCCCATTAGTTACCTCCCACGTCTCAGCCCTCCCAAATGCACATCCAGGGCAGAGCAGAAGAAGCCTGCCTAACCACAAAAAATGCTCCCACAGAGAGCATGTATGGACTACATTTGAGCCTTAGCTTCAACCACATCCCTAGGAATGATGAAGAGAAAGCAGCCCAAATTCTAAAGACCAGCAGAAGAGACATGAATGACCAAGGCCCCTGAAAAAATGCCAACAAGTCAAAGCCATCAAGAAAAGCAGATGGACACCAAGCGGCTGGCGAGAGCGGGCTGGGAACTGGAGTAGTAAGTTTGGTCTCTGGCCCAAGAGAGGTCTGTTGCTGAAACCAGCCAGGAGCCCAAAGTACAGAAGAGCTTCTGAGAGAGCAGAGACTGCACCTCCGACTGTTCCCGCGAGCCCGTGCCCGCTTCACTCCCTGTCATGCAACAGGGGCTGAAAAGAAGGAAGAAGCACAGGGATTAAAGCCATGACCTTGAAAGGGTCCCCGAGCTTCAGGAGGCACACCAGGCACACCAGGCCTGAGCTGCTCAGATAGACCCTCACCCTGCAGGGTGAACCCAGCCGAGCCACCAGATCTTTCAGGGAAGCCCAGAGTCCCTGAGACTGGTTCATAGCACATCTTCCCACATCTGCCAGAGCCTCAGTGGCCAAGAACAGGCAAGACCGGCTTTCAGCACCTGTGTCAGTAAGCACTTGTCCCACTAGACTAGCCACAGAGCTGGCAGAAGGTCACCAGGCTCAAGCCCTTCGTGTGTCACCTCACAAACCCAGGGACTCCTACAGGGGAGGGGAACTTGGGAAGTCACTGCAGGCTTGGCTGCTCTGGTGCCAGAATCCCCACCTGCCACTCAATCTCCAACTTCAAGCGGCTTGGTTTTCCACCTGGCAAAGAGGGTCAATCTTCTCAGCAAGGTGCAAGACCTTCCTGGGTCCTTTCCTAGACCTGGCCTTACCCCACCTACAATGAGAACCAGTAGCCATACCTGTCTGTCAGTCAGAGTTCCTGGATCTGGACGCTTCCATGGTGAAGCCAGAAGAATATAGAGAACCAGTAGGCCAAAAGCCACCACCAAGATCCCAGTACTGTTGGCAAAGACTGCCTCACTAGGCAGGCTGGAGTAGGGCTTGGTGGCATTTTTCCTGAAAATGACAAAATAATGTGGGCTTTTGAGAGAATTTCTAACTTTTATTCCCCTATGATCTGGAATTAACATACTGCCTAAGTCCTACCACAGCAACAGGCAGGAACTTCGCAATGCTTTACCTGTGAGAAAACAAGTGAAATGAACTTGCCCACATTTGCATAACTAGTGCATAGCACAACCAAGGTCTAAACCCCAGGGCCCATTTCCAATCTCATTTGCTGTTCACTTTACTATACTGCCTGAAACCCGACAACAATGGTTGGTTATACCGGCTCTGGAGGCAGAGTGCCTAACTCAGTTCCTACTTCTACCATTTACTGGCTGTAAGTTATTTCGTGCCTCACTATACACTTCTTTAACAAGGTTTCACAATGGAGACCTGGCTTGAACTCACTATGATGACCAAGCTGACCTTGAACTCACAGAGATCTGCCTGCCTGTAGTGCTAGGATTAAAGGCAGGCACCACCATGCCTAGCTCATTACACTCTTGTGACAATAGTACCAAATGTTGTAGGTGACAAAGGTGGAGAGCTTAGAGCAGTTCCTGCAAAACAGTACGTGT